ACTAGATTTTTTCCTAAAAAAATTACAGCAGCCCACTAGATTCTTTATCAGAAAATGTTTTTTGTCCTGACATGTAATGCTTTATATTTTATTTTTTAATTTCAAATCGGTGAGTTTTATCAAAAAAATACAAGAGATAAAAAAGTTTCTAAACAAACTAAACTATCAAATTAATTTTTTTGCATGTGTTTGATAAGATTTTTCTTTAAATTTCGTTAACAAGAATGATAGGGGTAGTTTATTTCAACCCCTTCCACTCATTTTAAAAAGTGAAAAAATTACCAGAAAGTGTGTTTTCATAATAGTAATGCTTCCATAAAATTTTATTAGTCTATCTCTTTTCGTTTTCAAGATAAAAAATAAAAACATTATTGTTCCGCCATCATTGTACCGCAATATCTCCCTAATGGTTGACTTTTGACCCAACGTTTATGAAGCAAACTACCCTTTATTTTGAACAAGGAATCACCCCCTAAAGTTTTTCGCATTTGTTTTGAAACACCCTGTATAAATTAAAATAAATATTAAATTTCTTAAAATTAAACTAAATTAAATATTAATTTTCTACAACAAATAAATTTGAAATATAAATTAAAATTCAACATATACTAATTAAAAAATAAAAAATAAACAAAATTCCTAACTGGGTCTTAACTAACATAACTAAAAAAAAATTCTATCCTACAAAATTGAATATCAGCATATACAGATTGAAGTAATTTACTCTCAACTTACATTACTAATACAAAAAATATAAAAAAATATATATATATAAAAAAGACATATCACTAAAAATAAATTTAACTATTGCTTAAGTATTTTTCTTTGAATTGTGCACTGAGGTATGATTTGATTATTACCGTGTTTTTTCTACAACAATTAAAATTATTAAGTATTAATTTTCTACAACAAATAAATTTGAAATATAAATTAAAATTCAACATATACTAATTAAAAAATAAAAAATAAACAAAATTCTTAACTGGTTCTTAACTAACATAACTAAAAAAAAAATTCTATCCTACAAAATTGAATATCAGCATATACAGATTGAAGTAATTTACTCTCAACTTACATTACTAATACAAAAAATATTAAAAAAATATATATATATAAAAAAGACATATCACTAAAAATAAATTTAACTATTGCTTAAGTATTTTTCTATGAATTGTGCACTGAGGTATGATTTGATTATTACCGTGTTTTTTCTTTCAATTTATCTAATTATGGTGGATTATACGGCTCCCCTCACCTTATGATTTTAGTCTAGTTGTTTTTTAATTTTTCAAATTTAACATACCATATTGTTATCTGTGATTGAACAAATTTTGTGATACATATAATTTTTTGACTTTGTATTAAAAAAAAATTGACTTTTTAACTTGTTTGTGATTGTATTTTAAATTTGACCTCTGTAATTGTATTTTAGCTTTGGGCCTGAAGATGGGAATATTTTAAATTCCCGAAACATGTCGCCCCCCTTGCTTTTTTAAGCACTAAAATTTTTAAAATTAAACAACTTAAAGATTGTGAGTTATTGTCCTTTTACCCTCCTTCAAAGGTTTGCTTTGATAATATGTACTCACACTGGGTTAGAGAACGTTTAGTATATATTTATTATTTATTTATTAATATCTCTGAAACTAACGAAATATATTTATTCATATCTTCGGATTATGTAAAGGGATCTGAAAGGAAAGGATTTTGGAGAATTTGAAACTTAAACCTTATGGGAGTATCACGCTTGAATTCGCTATATTTTAAAAAAATAAAAGAAAACATTAATCATATGTTGAGAAGTTATGAATAATTGTTGAAAACTATAGTTTATATCAAATATACTTTTAGTCACGTGATTAAGTTTGGCCGGTACAGCAATGCCCATTTTTACATATTTTCTTTTAATGAAAATATTTTAGAAAACAAAAATAAATTATTTATAAATATATAAACAGTTATTATTTACATCAACAAAACTCACCTCCTTAACAGCACTTAAGGGACTTAAAGGGCCGTTACTACCGCTTTCCCGTTCAAAATATTCTAATAAGGTTGCAATGAGTTTTTTACGGCTATTAAGCTGTCAAAGAACAATGTTTGACAGCAAAGTCTGCTACTAAAAATTTTTAAGCTTAAAATATTGCTACCTTCCCGGTGGGTTCAAAATTGTACCTATATAAAACACCAAATTTTAGTTCAATGTAATTACACAATAAAACACAAATTAACAAGACAGACGTTTATTCAGATGTAGGGTAGCTCATCATTTGAAACAATACAATTTAAAATGATTTAAATAATTATTACAATATAGAGAAATTAAAATGACTATATTGTAAATTAAATATTTGCAATAATTGGTAATACTGGTTACCAGTTCGTGTAACCTAGACTAAAAGATTACCTAGTCTACTAAAATTTAATACAAATGAAAAACCGGGTACCCACTATATAAATGATGCTTATAATTACTAAATAAATGATCTTTAACTAAAACTATAAATCAGAAGCAACAAAAAAAATATAGGTACAATGTTTATTAAGTACGCAGGAATGAGAGGGGGCTAATAAAGAGTTTGGTACTTAGCTTTTATACGTAAGGGTCCCAAAAATCCCCTACGCCCGGATCTGCCGCACAAGCAAAAGGCCCAACCACGTGGCTTCCCCTTAGCTTATCTGTTGGTTTGGAACGTCTAAGGTTTGAACAGGAACCTCGCTAGCCACTTGTGAAAACCCTCGTGGAACCAAATCGGTGTGTAAAAGGAAACCCAAACCAAGGTGCCCAAACTGTGGGCGATTTCCTTGGAAATAATACAAAAGATGCAACGCCATTAGTTTCGTCTCAATCCAGCCGTAGCTGTATGATATAAATAATATCAATTAAACGTAGAGAATTATTAACCTTTCCCAAAATCAAATGAAAGGATTTTTCCAACTCAAAACGTGACTTCACTGCCAGCGTGCCGAAAAGAAAAGAAAGGAAATCACCAGACAGGTGGGCGCTTGGAATTTTAATATCGATACCCCTTCCTGATATAAATTTAGCTATAAAATCCCTAGGTACATCCGCAACCAGTTAAGTACCAATGTTGCCAGGAGTAATCCGATAATAAAAGAAACTTAATAATAAATCAAACAATAATAATAAGTTAAATGCAATTACAACTAGATACAATTGATAAGAGTTTAAGATCATTAATAAATAAAAGTATTAAAATAAGTTAAATGCTAAAATTAATTATTTAGAGACTAAATATGAATGAGGTGAAATATGATTTAAGAAAACTTCAAGAAGCTGGCAACACCGTTAGACCCGTTGATGATTTGACGTTTCTGCCCTAACCACAAATTAATTAATCTAAACAAAAATCACAATCAGATTATTTATTAATAATAATTATTGAAGGTATTATTGTTATTAAAAAGGTATGTACATCGTTTCGTATAATATAATTAATATAATATGGTTTCCCTTTGTAGCAACCAAACAACTAACAAAATGCAATGAATATTTCCACTTGAACAGAAGTAAACAAATACCAAAAGTAAGTATATAAAGTGGTTATTATTAATATTACTTTAATTAACGTTATTTTAGATAAATAAGAAGTCTTTACACGATGCATTTACCCTTCCATAACCTGAAGAATAATACCTCAAGATCGAGTCAAAGATATTATTTACAAAATATTACATTTGGCTAAAAATACAACAATATGAAGTTAAATTATGATTAAAGTTAATGCACATTTACTTTACTTGTAAATAGAAAATAAATAAATAATTAATATGTATTAAGAAATGTATTGTTATATTTTATTAACGTGCCATCTTCAAGGTTATAAATAAAATAATAAATCACCACATTCACCATTTTGTCAAGATATATCAATTAAAATAAATATAAGAAAATTAACTCCCCTTTAAAATATATAACCGTAACAATATCACCACACATTTTATTTAAACGAAAAACTCGTAATACAAAACTAAAGTGTCAAAAGGATTGACAATGTCAGGAAATAAATAAATAAATGCAACAACTTGACAATTTCTCTAGGGGAATAGTTAAATAACAGATAGTAAGGTTGGCAACAAAATCTCATAACGTAATTGAAATACTAAAAAAATAGTGATGTAAAAACGTTATAACTAAACGGTTGTAGATAAAACAAATTTACTTGTTTAATTAATTAGAATTAACTCAACAAATGTTTCTATTTCCTTAGATAAAAGAAACTATTAAGAAGCAGCGCAACAAGGACATAAACAATTCTAGAGTAGTTATTTGTTTAATTAAGTAGAATAATGCGACAACAAATCGTAAAGTGCAGCCCATTACGATTCTCTCTACAGGCGAAAAAATTAATCTCTCCGAAAAATTTTAATATTTCCCGGAAAATTACGCTATTAACTGGGTCTTTATCAGGAAAACCATGCCGGAGCTCGAAAATTTATAGTTGCGTAGTATTTCTTCCAGCTCCATGATAATATACTTTTAGTTTATTTGTCAGATTTTATTGTTTCGTTCAAGGAAACACGATTAGAAGTAAGAACTTTTATACAGGATCCGGCAATAGTGCGTCGGGCTTCTGTAGCGCCTATACTAAAAAACTTGAGAATTTTAATTAAGTGCAAACCTAAATTATGTAGGAGAATGTATTTCAGGAAAATATTTTAGCTTCTATAGGGAGGCTCGATTTTTTTTAAATGGAGCATATCTGAAGACATCGGTGGCCACTACAGTTTTCTTATACCCTCTTCCTCACGAAATTCGCGAACCGCTAAAGTGCGATGGGGAGGAGCATTATTGTCCATATAAACAAATTTATCCCCCATTGCCCTTCGAAATAGCCTCACAATAGGCTCAAAAACCTCTCTAAGATATGAGGCACCTGTCAGTGTGCCATCAATAAAAACAAGAGGAATTCGAGCTCGGTGCATTATACCTGCCCTAACCATAATTAATAAACTTTACCCCTATATCAGACCGAGCCATGTTACTCCAACTTCAAACGAATCATTGTAAATTAAACATAATTCAAACATACGCCCCTACAGCAGATAAATATGACGAAGACATAGAGGAAGAAATTGAGGAATTCTACAACGAAATCAATAACATCATGCAATCTCTAAAATCAAGGGACATAACACTAGTATTAGGAGACTTCAATGCAAAGATTGGCAGGGGAGATTTGATAATTGTGTGGGAGAATATGGACTTGGTAGGAGAAACGAAAGAGGCGACAGACTGCTGCAATTTTGCCAAGAGAACGATTTTATTATATCGAACACGTTCTTCAAACTTCCAAACCGTCGTTTGGTCACCTGGAAATCTCCGCAAGACAACAAACAAAATATAGTCAGGAACCAAATTGATTACATCCTGATAAACCACAGATATAAAAATGTAATCAAATCAGTAAAAACCTACCCAGGGGCAGATGTCTCATCGGACCATAATAAGGCTACAAAATAAGATCAACGATAACCTCAGAATCCTCAAAAACAATCAAATAACAACGGAAGAAGACACGGACAAACAATGGGAAGATTTAAAAAATGCATTAATTGAGCTGAGCAAGACCATTCTGACAAAACAGAAAATAGGGGAAAAACAGGAATGGATCACTCCAGAAGTTTTGAAATTGATGAACGAACGACGTGGTGTAAAAGACAACAACGACGCATATAAGAATATTCAGAAAGAAATCCGATCAAAAATAAGAGAAGCAAAAGAGGTGTTCTACAAAAGAAAATGCGACGAAATAGAAGCCCTTCAAGAAAAGCATGACAGCTTCAATGTCCACAGAAAGTAAAAGAACTGGCAGGATTACAGAAAAAAAGACAACCGTCAATACTCACTGACCAGAATGGCAAAATCATTATGGAAATGGAAGAAAAACTAAGAACGTGGAAGAATTACATAATAGAATTGTTCGATGATGAGAGAGATATAAACAGACTAGTAACAGAACAAGAAAACAGCGGACCGGAAATAACTAAAGAAGAGGTCATCCATGCTATAAAAATCACAAAAGATGGAAAAGCCGCAGGGCATGATGAGTTACCCTCTGAAATTCTCAAGTTGATAGAAGAGGAAAACATACACAGATCTGTTCAACACCATATACAGAACAGGTATTATACCCAGGGAATGGTTGCTATCAGCGTTCGTCACTATCCCGAAAAAACGTAATGCAAGGCAATGCACAGACTTTCGAACAATCCGTCAATGAGTCATACGCTAAAAATACTTCTGAAGGTGATACATCACAGGATTTACAAAACATTAGAACAGGATATCAGCGAGACTCAATTCGGTTTCCGAGATGGCTTAGGCACAAGAGAAGCACTATTTGCTTTGAACGTTCTCGCCCAACGATGTATGGATATGAATCAGGATTATATATGTTTCATTGATTACAACAAAGCCTTCGATAGGGTCAGACACGAACAACTTATCCAGCTTCTGAAAGAAAAGAACTTAAACACCAGAGATATAAAAATTATTACGAATCTTTATTTTAATCAAAAAGCAGTGTTAAAAATAGAAGGGAATAACACCGAAGAAATAGAAATCCGTCGAGGCGTTAGGCCTTAATTAACCTCTATTCAGAGGAAATAATGAAACGAGCATTGGTCGATGAAACGAAAGGACTAAAAATTAACGGAGTGCCTATCAACAATATAAGATATGCGGATGATACGATCCTAATGGCTGCCAACCTAAACGATTTACAGATATTAGTAGATAAAGTTAATACATCGAGTGAAGAGCTCGGACTGTCACTAAATGTAAAAAAGAAAAAAATTATGATAATATCCAAAACAACACAAAACAATTCACAAATTCATATAAATCACCACACCATAGAAAAAGTTGACAGTTATAAATACTTAGGTACAATTGTAAATAAAAATAACGACTGTTCTGAAGAAATTAAAACTAGAATAGGACAGGCGAGAACAACATTTGTGAAAATGAAAAGAGTGCTCTGTGGCAGCGATCTCAGCTTGGATTTAAAAATCAGAATGGTGCGCTGCTATGTTTTGTCGGGGCTGTATTATGGTGTAGAGGCTTGGTCTCTGAAGAAACTTGACATAGGGAAACTAGAGGCATGGCTGTACCGTAGAATACTTAGGGTAAAATGGACCGATAAAGTGACCAACATGGAAATCCTGAAAAGAATAAAAAAGGAAAAAGAAATTATCATAACGGTAAAAAGCGTAAACTTCAGTACCTTGGACACGTCATGAGAGGAGAAAAAAGTACCACCTACTCCAACTGATATTACAAGGAAAAATTCAAGGAAAGAGAAGCGTAGGAAGAAGGCGCCACTCATGGATGAGAAACTTACGTGACTGGTTCGGGTGCACCACAAACCAACTATTTCGATCGGCTGTGTCACGAATACGTATAGCACTGATGATTGCCAACCTTTGCAACGAAGAAGGCATTTGAAGAAGAAGATACCATAATGCTTTCCCCTTGAAACGGGACCCGGGGTTGAGCTGTATTCAACCGTGCTCGTCTTCCAGATGCTTTCCAGACCAAAGTTCGTCGCGAGTCTGACACTAGGCCTATTCTTGTTTCATCACTAAACATTACGAAATTCCAATTAGGTCCATTTGCTCTCATCACCTCAGGCCATTGTTGTCACGTAATTTTGCGCTGTAAATTAAGCTTCGGAACACGTAGAGGCCTCATTAAATGTAATCCTCTGTCATGAAGTCTTCTTGCTATGGTCTTTCTTGAAGCATTTACTCCTTCAAGGCGAGCTAACTCATTTTTAATAGCAGTACTAGAAAGCAGGGGATATCTATAATAGGTTTCATTGCATTACATCTTGTAATGGTATTACTTTTATAGATATTATTATTGCACTATTTTAACAGATGAATAACCAAACATAGATTCTAGGATCTACAGGTTGCAACATCTTCGATTTAACATCACTTAAGATATATCAAATTAATTAAAGTACTACATTTCATACATTCTCTTAAACTTTACATGTCTTGTATTTTATCATAGTTGTTTTCATAGATATTTAGTACAACTCTTAACACCACTTTCTTTGACATATAACCACTATATATTTACTAGCCCTCTATAAAACCGTCCCAGATACTGGCTTTTGTCAAAGCCCTGGGACTGTATGATGAGTTATGATTCAAGAAAGGGGGACACAATGGATCTGTAAGGTCGAAGTGATTAACCCCCCTCCCACTCATTCTAAATTCTAAAAAAAATTCTAATTAGTTCTTTCCAGTGAAATACCTTATCCACGACTGCTCTACCAACGAAAAGCTGCCGTTCGCAGTGGTAATGTTTATAAAAAACGCTACACTAGGAACTACAGATTGCCGGATCCTGTACATAAATAAATAAATTCCAAATACAAATGATAAGTTAATAACCAATTAATATAGAAATAAGTTAATTACTGTGAAAAATAAAACGTAAGCCGACAGCTACCTCGTTTGGGAACCATATTTACTAACGAATAAAAAATAAAAATTATAAACCGCAAAATAAATTACTAAAATATGAGCAAAATAAATCCACGCATACGTAGCGAAAATATAAAACTTAATCCCCGACATCTCCCGCTCTTTAATTAATAATTTTAATGCGACGCCGCTTCAAAGGGAGACGAACTTTAAAATTAGGTAATCGGTTTTAGTTGAAAATTAGTTGGCAACGTCGCGACGGAGTTTTCCCTGACTTGACGCGGCGCGATTTTAGATTTGCCGGATTTGTCAGAAAAGGATTTTTTTGTTTCAAAAGTAGCCATTTAATATTCTTTATAATACCCGCGACTTCGTTCGCGTCGAATTAATCATTTGTAATGGTGATAATAAAGCCAAGCAAGAATTTCCATTAACATACAAACTAGAAAAATTTTCTCACATTTATGTCAGCACGAGAAAAAATAATATGGCGATATTATTATATAACTTGGTAATATTTGAGGGGTGGTTTCATCTCGTTGGAATTTGACTTTCGAAAAATCCGTTGGCCAAAAATAAGCTTTTTACGTCAAGCAATTTAAGCAGAATCGTGGTTAATCAATTACCCAACTTTTTGGAACACCCTGTATTTTTTTTAAATTTCAAAATATGTAAAAAAAACCAAATAAATTATGCGTGTTCAAGCGTTTTCCCGAAAGACTAACCGTTTTTTAAATAACAAATATTGTAATGAGGGGCGTTTTCACCCTCTTGGAATTTGAGATTCGGGAAACCCCTCCTTATCGAATCTCTACTCCCACAATCAATTAGTTTGCCAAAAATCACCCTGTATAAATTTTTAAAAAATCTTAAAACAATACAGTTGAGAGTTGGAACCTTTGGTCTTACACAGCAAAATAAAAACACTAAATCACCACAATACACCAAAACACTTTTACTTTTACACTGGACGCGCGTTTCGCTAACCATGTTAGCATCATCAGCAGATGATTATAAACTAAAGTACAAGTACAAGTTGAGCGTAGAAAAATCTAGCCAACCGAGTCAGAGCCAACTGAGCGTAACAGTTAGATTTCCACCACTAGAGTAGTAAGAGTAGTAGGAACAAAGAACTTGAAGGAATTGGACCGTTGTCTCTGTTCATACTATCTTTACATTTATTAATTCTGATGCTTTCATATGCATCTAATTGCATGTAATTTGAGACTTGTTTAATTAGAGTATTTTCCAAGAGTATGGTTTAGGTATGTGGATGATATTTTTGCTGTTTTTGACACACATTCAGACACCATAGATAATTTTATTTCTAAGTTAAATAATCGTTTTCCTTCCATTAAATTTACGCATGAAATTGAGAACAACGACAGATTACCATTTCTAGATGTATTAGTTATTAGAAATGCTAATAATTGCCTGGAATTTGATATCTATAGGAAAAATACGACCATACGCAGATATATTCCTAATGAATCACATCATAGTGTTGAACATAAAATGGCTAGTTTAAATTTCTTAGTTCATAGATTACTTAGTTTCCCACTTTCCAACGAAAGATATGAAATAGAAAGAGATTACATTGGGAATGTAGCTGAGTGTAATGGATATTCTCCTTCACTAGTTGATGAATTAATTAGAAAACGTAGGTATAGGTTAATGATTTCTGAAAATTCGACTTTTCAAGTGGAGAAAGATACGTCAAAATATTTTTCAATATCGTTTGATAGACAGTTATCGCGTGGTGTAAAAGGAATTTTTAAGAATGTCAATTATAAACTTGTGTATAGTGCTAATAGTAAATTACAACAATTATTAGGTAATCCAAAGGATAAAACACCTCCACTGGAAAGGTCGGGTATTTATGAAATTTCTTGTAAAGATTGTAATC